CATTTAGTATAGTGTATAGTTTGGACGCGGTTGTTTAATTAGTCAATAGAGAAGTTACTACTTTGCTAGAAGGATGCTTTACACGTATAGGAGACGCAAACGTGTTATAAAAGCTATATAAATCTTCAAAGTCACAAATTATTTCTGTTTTTAAAACTTATTTTGCTTTTTTACAACAAACAGGGAAACAAACTCATATATAAAGTGTAAAGATAATAATAGCCAGTTGCTTTCAAAGTTTTTATATTCTGGAAAAAAAAATCATTTTCAGTTCTCCTAATTCCTTCAACATACATATATATATATATATATGCATCTAATGAAAAAATTGGCCTGGTTAAAATTGAAATCTACTCTCCAAAGTCAACGTAAGTTTCATATTTTCTTGCTAATTATGGACTTTTTTTTCTTCTTTTTTTGGATATATGGAGCATTCATGCTGTATTAGTGATGTTAGATCGTCTTATCTGAAAAATGTAATAAAGTTGTTAGAGAGTGCATATTTTAATGGTTGATGCGATTTTTTCAGGTAGAACAGAGAATGATGATTCGGGTAGCTTGGTGAACAAGTCAAATGTGAATGAAGAGTATGTTCAAGCCTTAAGGACTAAGTCTTATGTAGAACTATACAATAAAGTTCAAGAACAACTTGAAGATGGAAAATTAAACGAATCATCGTCTTCTTCTCTTCAACTCGATACAAATTTATGTCAAGAAGCGTTACTAAAACTCCCTGAATCTTGTCAACTTCATCCTCTTATTGTTAACTACTTCGATATTACCTTAGAAGCATGCAGAATCTGTGAATTACTGCTACAAAATGTTCAACAAACGCGAGCTAATTATAGAAAGATAAGAAGAGCTATCAGATTGATGACAATAGAGCAAGAATCAAGGCATTGTTACAATGTATATAGAGAACTTGCATCATTTGCTTCGTTAAACAACTCTTTCTCTGCAGTTAACCAAGTTCAGATTCTGGACACACGCGAAGGACATGATTTATTGCTTCAGAAACTATCATTACAGTTCAGAAGAGTAAACAAGAGGATGAAAATCTTGAAATCTTGCAAGAGGGTCTTTGGAATTAGTATTGCAATAGGGTATACTGGGATTATGATAGCTTTGTTAGTACTAGTTCTTCATAGTATGGTTGGCATTGTGGCTGTCCCGGGGTTAATAGCTTGTTCTTATAAGCTATTCAAGAAAAGATCAAAGGTGGATAGGGAAAAGAGTTCGAGTTCACTGGAAATACTAATAGCACAGCTTGATGTAGCAGCAAAAGGGGTGTACATATTGATAAATGACTTCGATACAATGAGTAGGCTAGTGAGGAGACTATATGATGAAATCGAGCATAATAGATCTGTAGCTGATATGTGTGCTAGAAAGAAAAATGCAGATATGTTGAAGGAGGCGATAAGGAATTACAGTATTAACAAAGACTGCTTCATGGAGAAGTTGAAAGAGCTTGAAGAGCATGTTTTCTTGTGTTTCCTCACTATAAACAGATCAAGAAGAATGGTTCTACAAGAAATGGTCAGCAGATGAGTTAAGTGCAACTTATTGAATGAAAAATGACAACAAAGACAAGTAAATTTTTCGTGTTTTTTGTCTTTAATAATGGAACAATTCTTTTCCTCCATTTTGTTTTCTTGTAAACTTAATGGGAGGTCATAGAAAGTACAAATTCTTCTCATTTTTCATGTTCTAGAAAATTAGCAATATAATAGACATGTTACATTTTCATATAGTAACTACGGACTATATGTTTTTTTATCATATTGCTCTGAAAAACAAAATATGGAGTGATGGAGCATTGTGGACAAGTAAACTCCACCCCATCCAAATAATACACCAGAAAAGTACAAATAAGAACGTTAATTAAGTTTGATACTGTTCTTCTGTATGCCAATAGCAGAAGTGTGTAGTGAAGTAGTAGAGCTTACTGTTACAGAGAGAGAACATCCTGCAAACTTTTCCAACAACGTAAACTCCAATCCTGCAAAATGCTGCCTTCAATGAGCTGATTTGTCACCTTGCTTGTTTATAATTGCAATGTATCCTTTCTCAACTCTCTATATTCTTCAATGCCCAGCAAAGTTGTCTTGGCCTTGATCCAATCTGCGGGCCTTGGCATTATAATTGCAATATATCCTTCTCTGTCTGCCTGTTGTAAGAAAGCAAACACGAGGAACACATATTCAACAAGAAACATAATTATAATATTAGGAGGAAGATGTCAAATGAAACAATATCTTATTAGTGCAAAACAAGTCCAATGTCACAATTATTGGCACAATCAAATGACACACAACTTAATGCCACTTGGAACATGTCTATGAGAAGCTCTTTAAATATTAAAACGAAAAAGACAAAAACACAACTTTTATTATGGAGGTCATGCATATCCTATTTTGAGATCCTTTTATCAACATCAAGCAAAACAAGGTGTGAATTCAGCATCAAACATTTCGAGGGGGTAAAGAAATACGAGTCTGCAACAACCTGATGAATCAAAAGATATCTTCTTTTTAAAATAAAACTCATAAATGAGAACATATCATGCAAAACACTTAGTTGTATTCTGAAAAATCAGCCAAAGATCTTTTTTTCGAGCTTCAATGCAATACAAGTGAAGGTTCCAAGATCTTCATCATCACGAATATATACATTTGCTGACAGCATTGATATTATGACTCCATAAACAAACGATGCTCGTTTCAATGAAGTTCAACGTCTAAAAGCCAAAATGAAGAAGAGATTAATTCAAGGTAAGAACTACTACCAATGAGTTCAGCAATTCTGGTTGCTTAATTAACCTATCATTGACTTCTAATAACGAGCCTTTCACACAACACCTGCAAAACATGAGTAGATCATCTTCTAATGATTTTAATGTCAAAGAAAGGAGTGCAAGAATATAACTCATACCTCACAATATAAGAACCATCCTTTGTGCAGGCTTTACATAATGCTGTATTAGACTCAAAATGTTGAGCGTTCTGCATAAGAACAAAAGCAATGAAAGATTAGCTTTACTTGCACAGTTCATACAATTGTGCATATGTAGCAAATGGTGGTAAGTCGCAATGATGACTTGTGTTCTCTATGTAGCCAATAAAGTATGTTGTTTCAAAAGACTGAAGAATGTACATATGTTCATATTTCATAATTTCAATCATTTGTTTTGCTGACGATAAAGGGTATAGAACTAATGTGACATAATCCACACCTATATTTACTGCTGACAAGGTAATTCCATATGATGAATAGTTGGCACTGTATGCTAATGTTCAGAAAGTAACCTTTGTCAAGTTCTCAAATAGGCAACACTAGAAATTCGAGTAATATCTCACACGAAGCTATCCTTAATAAATAAAACATAGACAATAGAGCAAATTTAAGTTGTTAGCTTTTCTTCACAGGGAAAACAATAAGAATTATGTTCTTCAGAAGAAAGCCATCCCTTATGATTCTTCGCATATTTAAAACTCTAAACAAGTTCCGTAAATCATAAAATTAAAGTCAACTTCTATCCAACAACATCAATCTAGCTACAACACAACTAATAAGCCATAAAATTGCAATGACTTGCATGAACAAACTATGCTACTTTGCGTCTTCGCCATAAAGATGCAATTTTTTTTTTCATTTTTAATCAAGTTCAGCAGAAAGATGCAATCTTTAGTCTCATTCAAGTAAAATTCAGCTATCAATACCTTTTTTCGCTTTCCAGAGACCTTGATTCCACTCCGATCAGACTTCCCCACATTGAAATCAACCGAAGTAACTCCGCCTTCATCCTTAAAAGCAATGTGGGTCGGAGCCAACCCAATTATGCACAATCTTTCAATAACCCAAGTTCAAAAAATCAGCAAAAACTCAATCTTCAAAATTCAAACCAGCAACTAAATCAAAGCAAAAACAAAGCACAAAGAGTTTAATTACTAAGTTCTGTTACCCATTGGCATGTCGATGAACATACTGATCATGCCCAGGTTTCATAAAATCTGCAACAACAATTAAAAAGGAATACAACTCTTAATTTCAACAAGTTTGAGTTCTGAACTACTTAATTCGAACAAAGCAGAGCATCAATTTCATCGAATTCGAACTGGGCTTTATTACCAGGAGCAAAATAGGTGACGAAATTGGATTCAACAGCAGAAGGAGGAGAAATTGGGAGGTTTTCTAACTTCGGCACCAAAAGTTTCCTTAGTTCTTCATCTTGTAGTTCTTCAATTAGTGGTTCTGATTTCTGGGCGGTGTCGGAATGAGAGCCATCAACTATTGCCAGTTCTACATTGTCAATATTCGAAGTTTGAACAGTGTTGGCTTCGTCAGCGTTTTGCTCCGTCATCGGAAATTGGAAGCAACTCCGGCCAGTTGAAGTCGACGGAGGGAGAGTTGAAAGTTGTTTTACTTTGGGGTTTAAGAGAAGTTGAAGGAGAAGAGGGTTAATGGGCCCAACAGGCCCAATTCTTTTGGACCAATCTAAACTACATTAAAGCCATTCTCAATGTTTTTCTAGCCCAGTAATTTAGGAGTGAATCACGTATATTGTTTGCTTTTTCTGGTCAATATACATAGATTATACACTTATTATATACCATCATACATATATTATACACACATCGACTTTATAGATTAATCAGTTAAGTATATGGATATTTAGGTTAGTTCTACGCGATGAAATTTGAATTAAAGCCGTAGTTTATAATTATTTAATATAGCGGCAGGATAAGGAGAAATATTGGGATGATTACAAGGTGAAAATCAAATTTTCACCAACAAAGTAAAATTTTAAGTAATCAACAGATTGTGTTATTAAGATCTACTTAAACACATATAAAGTTGACTTATATAAATGAACCTTTTTCGGGGCACCATTTTTTTTTTCTTTTTCAATTTTAAAAATTATGTGCATATGTTAATTCTTCTTATGCCAAAATTAAAACAAAACAATTAACTATAAAGTGAATAGATGTATGTTGGAACAAAAGAGTACATTCATAAATCAAATTAAAAAACAAGAAGTTGTTTATTTTTGCATATGTACAATCAAATCAATACAAATCCTCAAATTAATCCCTTCACAAACTCCTCTCCATCCTTAGAAACACACATTTGACATATTATTACCCACACAAATGAATAAAAAATCAAACCAAACCAAAAATTACAAGTTATTTTCGTGCAATAAAACATTCCTCTAATAAAAAAGGACTCCATGCTCAGACCAAGCTTCAATTAACAAATCTACAATCATGCCTTATTTCTTGACCAGAACCGCTGATACTGCTCATCTTAATCATTGAATCAGCAAAAGCTTTAAAGAACTCGTGTTGGGAATTGGCAAAATTTAAAACAAGTGTTTTGGTTCTTGAATTTGTGAGTAAAGTTGAATCAGAAGAAAAAAGACCTTTCTTTTGCAATATTAATTTATAATACGCGTTATCGAATAAAAATGTCGTAGTATCCATAGTAGCCCCTGCATTTTTTGTTGTGTTTTTAACAGGGCATATTTTCTTTAAATTAGCTGCAAACGATGCGTCTAGTGATGGATCGACGTCGTTTTTGCTATCGAAGTTTTCTATTCTGTTTCGGAATGATGAACAATGAGAAAATCCAAGAGTGTGTCCTCCTGAATATTAAAAAAAAAAAAAAGTTAGAAAAAAGTAATTTGATAATTTTATTATAAGTTCAGTAATTATACGTGAAATTAATTCGTAAATTATACCTGAAAGTGCAACCAAATCATCTAAAGAAAGGCCTCTTTGGGAGAAGCTTTGTTGCAATTGAGAGATGTTAAAATTTGGGCCAGGTAATTGTCTTGTTTCACTGGCTATAGAAATTCTTCCATCTTTTCTACCTTTTGGTACGGCCCAATAAGGCCCTCCAGACTGAAAAAAAATAATTTCAACATTAGTCTTTCATATATAACCTCTAGAAAATAACATAAAATTTATTTATAATAATGAAATGGGTTGAGAATTATCGAAATTCAAGTTTAAATTCCAGCAAAGGTAAGAATATTAGATGATATTTTTTTATCTGTTCGAGCCTTGATAAGTAATGTTACAAACTACGTATATCAGTGGGAGGTAACATATACCCCTGACTAGTCGAGGTGTGCACAAAAACTAACCGACTAAAATACCATGATTATAGAAAATGCATTTGTGCACTGTCTACATATGTTTAAAGTAAGTTCTCTTTTGATAGAAGGTGTTAGAGAAATTAAACAATAATGTATTAGCTCTTGTTTGACAGTGTTTTCAACTTAGATATAGATATATTAGTTATACACTATATTTAGTACTATTTTTAATATAGTAAATCATGATATTAATAATACGATGGTGGGTGGAGTTACTATTTCTATTCTAAACTCCCTATCAATTAATACAACTAATCAAACAATCGACAAAAGATAATATCAAACACAACTAATTTCAACATTATTAAAACATCGTATTTGATGGTATTATCATGCACACTATCAAAAAAACCCTAATAGTTACGTTGTATTATTTTAGCATCGTATTCTTCTTCATTTTGTTCTAAATATAATTTTCTATGATGCAAATTCAAATTAATCTAGTTAGTAAATTTCACACGCCGAAAATCTAAAAGGTTATAGTAGAACTCACAAGAGTGACAGCATCTCTAGCTGCAAGAGCTAAAATATCAGCACAAGAGACAACGCCAGGACACATATTTTCAATTTGTTTCTTAGCAACGTCAATAACATAAAAAGAATGTAATGAAATATTTGGAGGTCCATCTTTCTCCGCTTGGTTGTTTTTTGTTGAATTCAACAGCACAGAGCCATCACAACCCTTCATAAAAATTTGAGGAGAAAAAAAATACCATAAGTTAGTTAGTAATTAATAACCATATAGCATATACTATGTCCTAATATTACAACATGAAAGTTTCACGTTCAAAAGATTGATAGGGTAAAAGATATTTATACAATTATATATAATCGATCACATATGAACCTGATTATATCGCTCATTTTAAGCTCATCTTGATATATTGATTTACGTGTAAATAAATTAACATTATATTAACTTGTTTTATTCATGGGCTAAGGTAGTTCTTTAGCCCTTTAAGTAATTAAACACATTGTTTCCTCTATAATTAAAAGCTACTGATTAATTAGATGACATAATATAGTATCTCGGTAATTTATAACCAAATAAAATTATAGCTAATATTATATATTATCATAGGTTAAACTACATATCGATTAATAAATTACAATATTTTAAAATTTATGTTTATATGTAGAAATAGAAACTAAATTTACGTACCCTGACAAAACAATCATGAAAGTGCATCCTCAAAAGAGCAGCTGGAACTGTTTTATCATTTGACATTGCTTTTTTTACAACTTGTCTAATAGTTGATTCTGCATCTGGACATGTTTGATCATAGTAATTGGAGCTAAGTGCATTTACACATGAAAATAACACAAAAGTAATTACAAAAACACTTTGTAATGCCATCAAAATTATCAAAAATTAAAAGCTTATAGTATATTGTTTGTGGTTAATTAATTGAGTGCGAGAGTTAAGGAACTATGCTATGAGTATTTAAAGGGAAAACATAAGAGGAAGAAATTTTAAAAATATATATGAAAAGTTGTTATTGGAATCTAATCATATGTTTGTTAGCAAAGTTTGGTAACCATTAAAATTAGAGTTGTTAATTAACACATTTTTTTAAAAGAATAAAATAACTTACTTCTTGTCTTAAGCAAAAAAAATATGATCCAAGTTCTAATAATCACTAATTTTAATTTTATTGGCAACTAAGACACAAAGGGGAAAACCAATGGTTGCTTAATCCCCACATGGGAATCAAGATTAATACATTTTTATTTAATTCTATGTATATTTTAGACATTTTCATTTTCTTGAGCCAGAAAAAACAAATCTCAGTTCCGATGATTAGGGAAATAATTACCTATATTAATTTTGTTTTGGAAACTTAATTAGAGAGTAACAGATTTAATTTATTAATCAATTTTAGTTTTTTTTTTATTGTTTTAAACAATAATGGTTTCTCGATTTTCAAATGGGAGCTAGCCAATTAAACAAGTGACATGTTCATTTGTTAAGTAAAAAACGATTCTAATTAATAATTAATCATCCATTTTATTGTTATGTGCAAAAAAAAAAAAAAGAGTTAGTGAAGTGATTAAGTGAGTCATGGTGATCGATTAACGATTAAAAAAAAGTTATGGTGAACTTTGAGGACTCCAAATGATACGATAAGTAAATTAAAGTCGTATAATTTAATATTAAAATAATTTTTTTTTCTTTTGGCAAGAAGGTAATTCATAATTTTTATTTTTTAGATGTGTTTGAGTCATGGATGAACTGTATTTCAATATATCAACTCGCAAATTACATAAAATTTATAAATTATATCAATCAAATTCATGTGACGAGCTTTAAATTTTTAAAAGTTAATCATTCAAAAGTTAGATATCTCAATTTCCAAACCAACTAAATAATGCACCAACTTTTCAAAATTTTGTCACAAAAATATATGTGCATGTAATATGTAGACCACACTACACTTAATTGTAATAGAAAATTTAACAACTCTTTTATGTAGAGTAGGGAAGTGTACATGTTTATGGCATAAAGTGAATTAAATAACACTTTTAATTAATTTGTATTGAATAATATATATCAACTTAATTAATAACTACTTCTCTCAATTATTATCCATTAAAGAGTTGACTCGCCGCAAGTCGGCCATCTTTTTAAAAAATTCAAATTTGGTTATGCAAAAAACATACAAGAAAAAAAAAGTAAAGTAAAAAAAAAACATCTAAAAATTAATTGATGTATGCCGATGATTATAAAATTATTATCTTTTTTCGATTTTCAAATATTGAGACAACTTAAAGAATAATAATAAAAAATGAATATATTTATTCACGCATAATATTTATATCAAATTATATTATCATATGATAATAATGATAATTAAGTAAGAGTAATAATATCTTAGCAAACATATATTATGCATTTATTAGTTTGAACTTTGACGTAATAATGGTGTGAATAAGTTTTTCTTGTTATCATTATATTATATAATCTCAATTCTTTATTAAAAGATACAGTCTTTTTTACTACTAAACACCCATTACTTTCTTTTCATAAATGTTAAATAGATCATTCTATTTATTAAGTTAATAATGAATTGTTATTATTTTTTCTTGTAAAAAATTATAGGGTTTGTTATTTTATATACACATATATATATAACAGAGCATTGTTAGGTCGATAACCCTTGATTTGAGTTTCTTTTTTTGGAATCCACAACCGTTGATTTTAAATACGCATTAAGTAAATGATTTGTGTATATTATCTTGCAAACTACACATGCACGAAACATAAATATAATCGTACTAGGTAAATTTGATGCAACCAACTTAACCGAGAAAACATTGACTGGCAGAATTAATTCCTAACCTCCATTATAAAATATTATCTGCTACACCAAGTCAATCATATGTAGAAGTCTAATAACTAATATTGATGTTGTTATAGTCCAACAAAATGAATTAACACCACTGGGTTAAAATAGGTATAATGTATAAACATGACATTTAATTTGATGTTAGTTGATAATTATGACGCTTAACTTTGATGTGCACAAGTAAACACTTAAATTTGTATAAAATTGAACAAATAGACACATTCGCCCCTACATGACACCCTACCAGTGGCGGAGCCACCTATCAATTAGGGGTTTCATTCGAACCCTCTTCGGCGGAAAATTAAATGATTTATACATGGTTAAAATAATTTTTATATATAGTAGATGTCGAACCCCCTTTGGCTACATCGTATGTCTATTTTTTCAGATTTTGAGCCCCCTTAATGAAAATCCTGGCTTCGCCACTACACCCTACATGGCAATTTTATGTCCTACGTGGCGTCCTACAAGTATTATGTCATGTAGAACATGTGTGTCTACTTGTTCAAATTTTATACAAGTTTAAATGTCTATTTGTGCACACTTAAAATTGAAGAGCATAACTATCTGATTAAACTAAATTAAGGATCATGTTTATATATTATATCGTGAAAATATATTGATTTTAGGTTTTGAGTGGTTGTTGCAAAGTGGATAAGCAAAATGACAAATCCCTCACTTACTTTAAAGAGGAAGGCTAATGTTTTTTATTGGGGATATAATATAGAGTTGAACCAAAACAAGAAAAGGTACAATATCTCATATGTACTTTGAATAGAAATGTAATTGTCTCAATGTTAATAATTGGATATAGGGTTGAAAAGAAACAAGCAAAATGAAAATATAATATCTCACTTTACTTTAAAGTGGAATGCTATTATTAATGCTCATTTATGGATGGGGTTTTCTGTAATAATTGTACTGTCAATCTAACTGATAATTACAAATTACTCTTTTTATCTCTAATTATTCGATGTATTTTTTTTTATATGTTTTTTTTATTTTTATTTATGCTTTAAGATATAATTACTCTATATTGAATGTTTTGATGTGACATTACCATAATTGAAGTGTTGTCAATAGTCTTCAAAACAATTAAACGGAAAAAAAATCATCTTTAATTTCTATATGGACAAATAATTTGAGAAAATTTTAAAATTCATAACAAATAGTTAGAGACGAAGAGATAATTTTGAAGCAAAACATAGGAACATTTGATACAATATATGTATAACATGACCTTATTACAATACAAGCTTACAATAGAGGGCAAAAATAAAAATAAAAATTAGAAGTATAGATGTTTGATGCACCTACAAACATTTGCATCAAAGACAAAAGGTCTTATTATATTCTTTTGATATATAAAAAATAAATATGCAAATTTCACACTACACTACATACACACAATAAATTTCAAATATATTTATGTTTCCAGCACCTTCGGACTAGAGTTCATGAACTTACTTCATCAATAATCGAGCCAGTATATTTCGAATATCGAATAAAAGAAGACAGAGGAAGGGGGGCGGGCTGCTTTCAGTAAAACAGTAAGCACGCCGCTGCCTATCACACGTATAAATATAAACTCATAAACTTCAAATCCCGAACTTTTCGACTTTTGTTTTTTTTTTTTTTAAAATTAGAAGTTAATAGAGCTTGAATATGTTTGTCCAAATCGCCAATTGGATGAAGCAACATTTAAGAATGTTTTAGTGACACCATCTGATGTTGTGACCTTAAATGACAAAGATTGTCCATTAAGAAATGCATTTGATTGCCAATTGGCCCCCCAATTTCTAGCCATTGTCATCCAATTGGTTCTTGATCCTTTAATTTGTACTGATTGAATTGATCCAGCCCCTCCTACATTACTTATCATTAATAGCTCAAAATAGTCCCTTCCATTTATTGTAAATCTAACTCCACCTTTTTTCACACAAGGAATCCTGCAAACACACAAATATCACACTACAGTCAAACCTCTATATAACAGTTATCATATATAGTAATATTTCACTATAACAGTCATATTTTATCTGAATTTGGTATTTCGTGCTATGTTATATTATGTGGTAGTGGTAACATATCGGGACAATTTATATTATAAAGAGATTTGATAGTATATATTGTCTATTGAAATGTATATATGAGAATAGTGTATATAACTCTTGCACTATTAACCTAATTTCACTGGATATATAATTATTATAAGTAAATATTGTGTCAAAATATATGGTTTGAGCTGAATTTGAAAGTGTTAAAATGGTTGAGGCATAATTTATGTAGGATCTAAGTTGGGCTAAATAATGGAAAGTATTTATACCTCTTTAATTTTATAGCCTTTTGTGAGGCTACTCTTTAAATTCTCTTAGTGTTAGCTAAGTGAAATAAATTGCCTTTAAAAGTAGTTGGACGAGTTATCCTTTTTGTAAACAAAATCTTGCCCACTAGGCTTTTTAGAGAACAAATTTTAAATAGCCGCAAAAGTGGTTATTTATGCAAATGTTACATTTATAATCTAGCCCATCCAACTTGGGACCCATGGATATAACAATTTGTTCAAACTTGAAACAAATTTGACAAATCATATTATTTTTTTTTTTGATAAATCAGACAACCTTAAATCATATTTTTTTCATTTCGATTTGTTTATTACTCTCCCTTTTAGACCGTTTCAAAATAATTTTTTTTTAAATAATCCTTTAATTCTGAATTTCTATATGACATGCTTAAAATTGAAAAACTTTGTGATCTATTCTACATGTCTTTAATTCAAGCCTAATATAGTTATGTTTTTAAACTTCATGTCAAATTAAAACCAGACAAACAAATTAAAACAGACGGTTACCTTTGGTACATGACGGGAACAATGCCACCTCTGTAGATACCAATTTTTTCCCAAGCAGGTTGAGCCATGTCAAAATGTGGCCTTGGTGGGTTGCACCATCCACCATTATTGCTAGGAAGTGCAAAATTTGGTGGACAAAAATTAGTGGCTGTAATTGTAATAGATGTTCCCTTTATGCACCATTTAGAATCTTGATTATAATCACACATAAT